TCCTCTTTGAATTGACTGAATATGTTTATAACCATTCTTTTGAATTCTGTATCTGGAATTTTGTCTGGATCATTGTCATAGGATAGGACATGCCTTAATCTCAAATGGTGAACCAGAGCTGGGCCAAAGTATGGTCTCCAAATTATTGATTTAGCATTTCTCATTCAATATAAGGAAAAATATCTTGATAAATGATGACTTATGGTGTAATGCAGGAAAATATAGAATGAGTCTTTAAAATCTAATATTAGATAATTAAACAACCAAGATAAAGCATAATGTCTAAAAATTTCACAAGTCAATCCCTCTGGAGTATTTCCTTAGCTGAAGCACTCCAAGGTAGTTATGTCAATGTCAATACACTTGAAATATTTGTGTCAAATACAGTGGCTGATGCGAAGTAGCTGGTGCCGAGGAACTGAAGTTAGAGGGCTCCAGGCTGTACCGCCCAGGAGTGCCTTTTCCTTCTGAGTAGATTTTATTAGAAAGCTTAGTGTTTGGAGTTCACACAGAGTTGAGAGTTTACATATGATAAATTCTCAATCACTTGAAAACACTTAGGAATTTCTCTATCACTATAGCAAGAAAACAGCACAGGGTACCCAAGGCCATGTCTACTGATCCAGTGACAGACCTCCCTTGCATGCACATACAGGGTGTGCTGGATAGTTTTAGTGTCAACCTGACACACCTGGGTTGAGGAAGCCTCAATTGGGGAATTTCCTCTATTGGACTGGCCTGTGGCCATGTCTGAAGGGCATCTTCTTGATGAGTGATGTGGGAGGGCCCAGCCCACTGTGGGTGATGCCACCCCTGGGCAGATAGGCCTGTGTTGCATAAGAAAGCAGACTGAGCAGGGGCCAGGGGAGCAAGCCAATAAGCAGCATTCCTCCATTGCCTGTGCTCCAGCTCCTGCTTCCAGGTTCCTGCCCTGAGTTCCTACCTTGGGCTCCCTGATGAACTGTGACCTGGGAGATGTAAGCTGAATAAACCCTTTTCTCCCCAAGTTGGTAGTGGTCAAAGTATTTTGTCACAGCAATGAAGAAACGAACTAGGACACAGGGTGAGGGTCCTGATTCCCAGCATACCAGGAGCAGATGTCTTATCAGCTTGTTCCTTCCCTCAAGCCTTTGTATCAGCAAAGGCCAAAGAGTCTGTTAACTGCCAAGTGCCAGAAATCTGTTAACTCTTAATGAGCTAAGTGCTATCATTCTTAAGAGCAAAAGAGGCAGCTACAAATCACTAATATTATCTGAAACAAATAGAAAATATAAGTCCATGTATTGGCTATGATAGAAAAAAGTGCTAGAGAATCAACTTGAAATTGTGAATAGCAAACAATTATAGCAATGAAGAAGCAGACAGTAAGTGATATGTTTACTACCATTTTCTTCCACATGATGAACTACCAGAATCAACCCGGGTTATCAATGGCTATGAGTATTTTTAATTGATTAAACATGTATAACTGTGGGAAATTTAAAATTCACTTTCTGAGCTATTCTTGAAAGTTAGAACAAAGAAACCAACCTACAGTGGTTTGAATGAGAATGTCCCCCATAGATTCAAGTATTTGAACATGTGATCAGTTGGAGCACTGTTTGAGGATGCTCATGGAACCTTCGGGAGACATGGCCTTGCTGGAGGAAGCCCTTCCGTCCCTGGGGGACAGGCTTTGACAGGCCATAGCCTTCCCCTATTTCCAGCTTGCTTTCTCTGCTTCGTTCACATGCTTGAGGATGTGAGCACTCAGCTTTCTGCTCCAGCAGCCTCTGCCACCATGACTCCCTGCCATGAAAGACTCAATGCTCTGGAACCAGAATCCCAGATGAACTCTCCATTTTGTAAGTTGCCTTGGTCATGATATTTTATCACAGTAAGAGAAATATAACTAATCCAGAAACCCTGAACCAGAATTAAGTCTCTAAATCAAAACAGAATCCATGGGTAATGAATAGTCAGATGAGACAATTCTACAAATTTGCCTTTAATGAATGGTGATGAAATATCTTGTTGCTCATTAATTTGGATTTTATGGTACAAAAGATAGCATTCTTACTAATTCCACATAGCTGATCAGTAAAATTAAGTTGATAAGGATATTACTCCTCATGATACAAAGCCACATCTTCCCAATGTTTCCAACTCTGTGCTTTATAGCAGTAGAGTAGTTCTCAATTCTGCATCTCAGCCACAATACTGCTATCTGGAAAGGACTACATTATTGCTTAACACGTAGGTATATATAAAACATGCTATACACCTTAAATGTATGCAATTTTTACTCATATTTCAATAAAGATGAAGAAAATGAATAATTTTATATACTAAATAA